AACCTGCTTATCCTTCTGTGTTCTAGATTCAATTCCTAAGAAAGGGAATTGCATTTGCACACCTCATTTTATTGGCTCACACTGTGTGTCTCCAGCGCTTTGTTGAGAAGAGGGTATCCTAACCAGTCAACACTAATCCTTAGTAAGCTTGCAAGGTAGGTGCCCTTTTTATCCCTTAATGCTGAGGCTAGTCTCTTTCTACCATTCCACCACCCTTTTTTCTCTATAGTCTTTGCTTCCATTTACCTCTTATGCAGCAACACTATTGAGCTTTTATTCTTCAGTCCTTGAAATCTGAATTCTTCCCCCATTATGACAAAGAAAATTATGTCAGTGATGTCACTGACAACTTCCTTCTTCTTTTTTTCTTTTAGAGCTGCGCTTTAACCTGTTGCCACCAGGGAGGACCCTAGAAAAAAAACTTTTTTTCCCCATCATTCTTCATTTTGTGCACTATTCATCTCAGCTGTAATCCCCATGGACTTACCACCACCAACTCACCTGTGTGCATCACCATAGTCCAGTGTGCTCTTCCCACTCTAGTTCTGTTCCCATTCTCCTTTCCACCCCCATAAAATGTCTCTGGTTTATAGTTGTTCATTGTTTTCATTTTTACTCTATTACGCTTGTTTCTCTCTTCCCCCACCCACCACCCCCATCCCTTACGCTACTGCTATGAATGAAACCATCTGGTATTTTTCTTTTTCTTTCTGGCTTATTTCACTAAGCATAATCCCTTCCAGCTACATCCATGTTCCTGCAAAAGGCATGAGTTTATCTTCGGATTGAGGAGTAATATGCCATTGTGTATATGCACCACCTCTTTTTAATCCAGTCATCTATTTTTGGGCATTTGGGTTGATTCCACATCTTCCCGATTGTAAATAGAACAGCAATAAACATGGAGGTGCAGGTGTTCTTTTGAATCAATGTTTTTGTGTCCTTTGGGAATGGAATTGCTGGATCATGCAAGCTCTACTTTTAGCCTTTTGAGAAACCTCCAAATTTCCAAGGTGGTTGTATCAGCTTGCATTCCCACCAGCAGTGGAAGAGAGTTCCTTTTTACCCACATCCTGACCAACATTTGTTGTTGCTAGTTGTTTTAATATGTGCCATTCTCACTGGTGTGAGATGTTATCTCATTGTAGTTTTAATTTGCATTTCCCTTATTACAAAGAATGTTGAACATTTTTTTCATATGCCTGTTGGACATCTGCATTTCCTCTTTGGAGAACTGTCTTTGTAGCTCATTTGTCCATTTTTTGATGGGGTTGTTCACTTTATTTTTGTTGAGTTTAATCAGCTCTTTGTGTACCTTTGTGATTAGTATTGTGTGCAAATATTTTCTCCCAATCAGTGGGGTGTGCCTTTGTTTTGTGAAGTGTCTCTCTTGCAGTACATAAACTTTCTAATTTGATGTAGTCCCAGCTTTTTATCCTTTCCTTTACTATCCTTGCTTTGGGTGATGTATCTTTAAAGATATTATTGAGGTGCATGTAATGCAGAGTTTCGCCTATCTTCTAGATATTTTATGGTTTCCATTCTTATGTCTAGGTCTTTTATCCATTTTAAGATGGTTTTTGTGCATGGTGTGAGGTAGTAGTCCAGCTTTTTTTTTTTTTTTCTTTGCATGTAGCAGTCTATAGTCCCAGCACTATTTGTTAAACTTTCTTTGTTCCATTGCATGTTCTTTGCTCCTTTGTCAAAAATTATCTGTCCCTAAGCCTGTGAGTTTATATCTGGGTTTTCTGTTTGAATCTGTTGGTCAGTATGTCTGTTCTTGTTCCAGTACCATGCAGTTTTGATTATTATGGCTTTGTAGCATAGCTTAAAATCTGGGTTTTTGTTGCCTCCTATCTCTTTTGTTTTAGTCAGGAGAGTTTTGGCTATTTGAGGTTTTTTGTGGTTCCATATAAATCTCATTTCTACTTCTTCTGATTGATTGTGTATAGGAAAGATACTGCCTTTTGTGTATTGATTTTATAACCTGCAACCTTTCTAAACTGGTAATTGTTTTGATCAGTTTTTCTATGGAGTTCTTAGGGTTTTCCATGTATATTATCATATCAGCTGCAAATAAAAATAGTTTTACCTCTTTTTTCCCTATTTGGATTCCTTCTATGTCTTTTTAACACTACAACTTTCTAAAGATAGAACCTTGGTCATGCTGTGAGTCCACATCTACTCCCTTTGAGAAGGGATGCGGAACAATGAACCATCGTAGTGCCAGCAGATAGGAGGACACCAAATAAAACTTTGACATTTATTTCTTGCACTTGAGAAATAGAAAGAACTCATGCCTGACTTCCACCTAAGAAAGCTAAAGCTGACAGTGGGCTACTCAGCAAATTCATGTGGCAGACAAAGGCATTCCTTGGTAGTGGATATTGGAGAAGCTTATGTAGTTGAAGTGAGCCTGTATTCTTGGAGTTTGTGGGAGCATGGCATGTGAACAAATGAATAGATGTGGAACTCACAGGAGGGTCATGAGTAGTGCAGTGATTTTGCCAGGGTCACAGTAACCCCCAAAGTAGAGAACCACTTCTTCAAGTTAAGGAAGTGTATTGCTGAAGCATAGCATTAATTATAATTTCTATTTAATGATGTGTCACCCAGAAGTTGGTCACGTTTCTGCTTCTTCTCTAAAAAAACAAAAATGCCCACCCCAGCCCCAATAAAATTGTGTCTTTGCGATAAAACACTTAAAGGCAGGAATTCATATTGAAGATACAGATATACTCCACTTAAGGAGTTAGTCTGCTCCATCAAATGTACAAGACTATACTTCTGTTCAACTAAATACCATCTTTTGGAGCAGAGACTTAATTTGTAGTGATAACAAAATATGCTAAGTCTCTGACAGAGCAAAATGGATGGTGAAGAACAGTGGGAGAAGGGTTGGTAACAGCTTTGGTGGTATGAGTGGGTAGCACAGAATTGATAAACTAGATGGAGGTCATCTGTGAACTCTCTGGTTAACAGATCAGAAGCTGGGACAGCTATAAACAAAAGCTAAACTTGATCTAACTCTTAGTTCTGCCTAACACTTGCTACCCATATTTCATACATGTAAGGATTTACCTAATATATTCTCTAGATGACTAACATTAGTTTGATACACACTAATAAATCAGCTGCAGTCATGCATTTTATTAAAAGACTAAAACATTAACAGTTATAATTGAAAAAATAAGAAGACAGTACATGTAAGAGAAAGGCTGAATTTACAATACCAGGAAATATTCTTGGTAGCTTTTTCTCTGACTAATTTCAGAGAACTGTGCTTGCCCTGAATAATCATTCCCATATGTGTCTTTTGCTGGAAGTATGGCCATTTCACTCTCTCCTTTGCCTGCCTTGATTTGCCCAAAATAAAGCAGACAAGAATCATAGAGGAGAATTTTGCAAAGAATGGTGAGCTGATCAAGTTCACCTGATTTGTGTTATTTGCCAATTTGTGGTGTAAATATTCCCAACATGGCTTAATTCAAGGATAGTAGTACTTACTAACTAGATTGGAAAATTCCTGAAAATTTAACAATATTGGCTCTCACCAGATGGTGCTCGTCTACTCTCACACACTGCTACATCAATAAAGAACACTGAGTTTCCATAAATATATATGATATAAATTTAATTTCCTGAGAAGATATACAAATGCAAGAAGAACAAGGCATACAAGTCTTTGGCCCTACAGTTATTCAGGAGATGCTTTTTAAAAAAGATTAATAAATTTCTTGGCCTCAGGCTTAGCCTACTCCTGAGCAATTTTTGATATGCACAACACAATATTTTTAAATTAGCTTTATATGTGACATTATTAATAATGTAATATAATCTCTTTACAAATATCCATAAATATTTTAAGGTGGGTTAACAATTAATTATTACATATCTTTCAACAAGAACCAACAAGCAGCTAAATGAACAGAGTCCAAAACTTCAACAGGGTGTCACTGAGTACTATTCGTTATTTTTAGAAGTTGACATATTTGACCAAGACAGACACTTCAAAGTAAGGATATGGTGGAAATAAACCATGAGCAACACCCTTGTGCTCTCTTCTCCAGGAAAGGGAAGAGGAAAAAAATATAGAAAAAGATCTGTTGTAGTATTTCCCTACATATCTTGGATTGAAAGGGCATATACCTCCTGGTGATTGAAAACACTAAATCTGATAGACTTACAAAGTGATAATAGAAATACTAGCTTTAAAGCTGAGACAGTAGACTACAATGAGAAGCCTGCTGGCCCTGTTAATCTTTCATCCTGTAGGTGGAAGCATGTTTTCTTTACTCCATCTTCGTCCATATTCTCATTGCTAAAATTGTGTCAAAAATATCTGACCCTTTAACTTCATAAGCTTGCCATGTAATACATGAAAGTACTTTGCAAAGTATGGAAAAATAAACTAAAACTATTACATCATGTAACAGTACTGGTAATTCCAATTTCTAGGGTTAAATTTTATAATTACATATGATTACTTTCTTTACCATTGACAATGTTTGGGTACACATAGAAAAGTTTCTCATGAAGCCTTATGTGGAAGTCCAGAGTGACTCTTTTTATCAGTTGGTTTTATAAAGCTTTGCATCCTGAGTGTGATAAAATCAAGGGAAATTCCCAAGTAAAGTGCATTCCATTTGCTACTACTTATGCCTCTGTCCCAACAGTTCTCTAGAATGTTTCCTATCCTCTAGCACATTTAAGTGGGGGTGTTGTTGCCATATCTGTAGCCACACTACTAAGCTATTTTTTATAGAGGGTCTCAGAAAAGGGGGGGGTAATGGGAAATAGTGCAAGAATATAAGAACAAACCCAGGCTACTGTCCTGGTTCCTTTGTATACAAAGTGTGGCTCTCATGAGAATAAGAACTTCATTTATCTATCCAGAGAGTCAAAGACTCTTTGAGGAACTTCTGTGCTCTAATCAATTCATTTTTTTTGTGAATTAGCAAAGTGTCCTTAGGGACTCAATAATAACCAAATCTCTTTGACCCTTCTACCGAATCTCTTTCTGATAAGCAAGAGAAAGAAACATTTGCATACAGAGGAGTTCCATGTGTGTTGATTTGTGTAGCCAAACTTTAGGTGCTGAAAATTTGCTTCCTCCAATCCACCTACCCACCCATCATCATGTGCTAAAGAAGATAAGGAAACCTAATCAAGTCTCTAGGAGGTCAATGTGATATTTTCTATCAAAAAGACTTTCAAGTATGTGTTGTTCTCTAGAACTTGATGTTCACCGTTGAACATCAAGTCTATTGTATCTTCAGCATGCAGCTCACCAGGCCATCCAACATACTGGATTTTAGATTTGTCTGTAACAGTTTGTATGATGTCTTCATTTTTCAGTAGCTGTACTTCAAAAGGAGCTTTTTCCTGGTAGGTTGTATTGGGAGCCACTTGACCATAAATTAAATAGGAGCCTTTCCGAAGAATCCTCAGCTTCCAGTCACCTCTCTTATCCATACAAGGAAATTCAGGAGACGACATTTGCCATTTGGAGGGTAATGGTCCTATTGGAATTGTCAGGAGAGGGAAAAAATATGGAAAGCACAGTTATTAAATTATTTCATAGCCTTCCTAATTATAATTCTTTCCCATTGACAGGTTTTTGTTGTTGTTGTTTTTCTTCTCCAACCTGGTCTGTACTAGGTTTCTCCAGCTACAATTTTAACATTTTTAAGTATCTATGAAATCTTAAGTGTCTTTCTTGCTTTCACGTCTAAGGAAATGGGTTTGAAGTAGAAAAAATAAGTTGATCTTTTTGTTGCTACTTTATCTATTGTCAATTATTATTTGAGAAAGGAATAGAAGGAAGTGGGAGGAGAGAAGGAGAAAGGAATCAGGATTATAATAATAAATAGTACCAGGAATATAATAATCAGATATCAAAATACAGGTTGTATACTCATTCTATATAAATGCTAGTTACTACAAGTCACTGTGTCAAAGAGCTCTTCAGGTCAATCTATATAAAATAGAGCTCTCCTGTGCCTCATCCCACTGACCTGCTTTAATTTTCTTCACTGGCGTTATCAACATCCTACATGTTTATTATCTATCTCATACTCGAGTAGCAATCTGAATTTTATTCAATGCTATATCTCAACACCTGATGGAGTTCTGGTATCTAGTATGTGCTCAAGAAGTAATTCATTTCTTGATTTAGCTGCTTTGTGACTAAATTATGGCTCTCCTTATTTGTGCATAGGTAGTTTATCAATCAAGATCCATGGGATATTATTGGCCAGTCCCAAAACAATTACTGGTAAATTCATGAGTTTTAAAATGGAAATTATTTGACTATTTAGTAGAATGTATCCCTAGTTTGGTGCTGTTATACAAAGGGCAGGTAAAGGATCAAGACCTAGCATTTATTTTCTTTGGTATATGTGGAATTGAAATATTTTCCAAATGTTGTCTTTGCATAGTAGTGTGCATCAGAGCCTTGGGAAGTACTCATACCACCCAAAATACTTATATGGCCAGTTCTTTAACTCTCCACATATTTAGTTGTGGGGAAAAGTTTTTAATCCCATAATGAGAAGCCTTGATAATAAAATACTTTGGAATATATAACACATTGACTAAAATTCTTATTTATATATAAATGATTGACCAAAGACTCTGAAGGTAGACTCTAAAGGAGAATGAAAAGAGGTGATTAGAGCAAGAAAGTCTATATAGAGAACGTCTCCCTGGATCCACAATGACTCTGGATCCCAGTAAATTTATTTCTGCTTGACATGTAACCAGCAATAGACAAGTCAGAAGTGCCACTGGTCCTCTTATTTAATTCTGTGGTAGAAGCCACTTAAAGCCTTAGCATCACTTGAGGTTCTCGACTTTTACCACATTGAGGGACAATTCAAACATATCATGAGTTCCACTCCCTTCACTAGAAAAAAAACAAAACCACATTGGCAAAGACAAATGAAAGGATTCCCTAATTCCCACAAGCTAAGCTGTATAGGAACACAGGGGTTGCTGTTAACTGTAGCAATGTGTTGCTCTCAGCTGAAAATATGTGTTTGACTTGAAACCTATAAACAACCGAAAAAGTATTTTTCTGATTTTGTATATATTCTAAAAAGTACCCAGAAGCTCAATGTAACTGTAAACATGAAAGTGTTTTCTAAGCAAATACCAAGTCACTGTATGGGAAAGTGACTCAGATACTAAGAAAAAGAGAAGAAAGCAGTAGTTCAGGGCCAGCTTCCTAATTTACATTCCTTTCCCTTTCCAGACTCCTTTTATCATTTTTTTTGATGTTACTTTTTCTCACATATTTTTCCTACACATTTGGAAACAAAGGTGACCCTCCCTTTACATGACTCTCTCACCCCCCCCCATACACATACACATACAAACTCTGCTGGACATCAGCAATATATAAAATGGGAAGAATTTGAGTTTACCAGAAGGAAAAGTTGTGGAAATCTAACTTGTGCTTACTAAAAGTAGATTCCTGGATCTCTGATACTCAGTCCCATAAATGTGGTGTCCACAGCTGCCTGGGACATGACCTGGAATGCAAGCTTCATCAGAGTGTGGGTTTTTCTCTCTGATCTACCTCAAAAGGCACCACCCCTGGGCATCTGTCTGGCACATGCTAAGCTATTCATAAATAGCAGTGGAAAGATGAATAGAATGGAAGATAGGCATCCTTAATAACACTTGAGTTTGCCTTCTTATACCAAACACTCAGAAAAGTTAAAGAAGCATGCAAGACCAGTTACTCACCAAATTGTGCTACACATGGCTCACTGGGAGGCTGCAGGGAAAGAAAAGGAAAACAGGATGACAACAGTGTCACAATTTTCTTGATTGATTTATCTAGAACTTCAGGTTCTAGTCAACTATTTTTCCCTAATCAGATAAAAACTATCCCTCCCTCCAGTTCTCAGCTTCCCTTTACAGATGATTAGCTCCATGCCACCAACACACACTTGATATACATACTACCAAATGTCATCAGTGTGGTGAATTTCATAAGAACAAGTATTTAAATGTTATTGGCTCTGAAATCTTAGTCATAAGGTATAGTCACCCACACACGAAGGTATAATGCACTACGTTAATTAAGTTCATTGGTTTTCTTGTGGCAAATGTTTAAAAGACTTTTTGAACTTAAAGCTATTACACATTTCTTATAGGATTTCTTGGCTGCTATGCTAGGAATAAAGTAAAGGAAGCCAAGGGTAAAAGCAGTGAAGCCAGCTAAGAGATTGTTGGAATCATTTCAGCAAGAAAACCTAGCCCAGATATTAGCAGTGGAGATGATGATAAATGATTGGAAAAGGCCAAACATGAACAAGAGATGAGAAAAGACAAAGGTCACTCCAAGATTTGGGGCTATGAGTAACTGGCCCTCTGAGTAACTGAGTAATTGAAGTTGTTAATTGCCAAAACCATCAAGATTTAAGACTAGTCAATTATCAGAGAAGAAACAATCATGATTTCATGTTTAAACATGTCAAGATTATGAAATTTATTTGATATTCAATAGGCGGTTGAATCTATGAAGTAGTTTGTGATTATATAAGTCTAGGGATATGTTTTAAGATATGAGCTCATCAAGTCTCTGAGTGTTGACAGACAAGAGTCATGGAACACGTGATGTTAACATACCAGGGAAAGAGGAAGAATCATTAGAAGAGACCAAGGAGGAAGTTCAGTGAGTCAGACAGAAAGGAAGCCTGGACAGTGTGATGTTTGGAAACCAAGAGAAGAATGTGCTGTAGGTGATCTGCTGTTTCAAAAGCTGGATCAGTCAAGTAAGAAGAGGACAGAGACTTGACCAACAGATTTGACCTCACAGTAGTCATTGAAACTCCTGACAAAGTAGTTTCTATGATGTGATGTGGGCAGATGCCTAATGAGAATGGAGTTAAAGGTTCATGGAAAAATGCAATTGGAGAATTTTTGTTGTGAAGAAAAGAAAAAAATGAGTAGAACTAGACTGGGGGTGAGAGATCGAAGAGATTTCTTTGAGATTTATTTTAATATGAGGGAAATGACAGCATGGTTATCTGTTGCCACTTGATGGGGATGTTCCAGTAAAATGGGGGGCAATTAACATGTAAGAACTAGGAGATAATTGTTGGTACAATACCCTGGAGTAGATAAGAGAAAACACAATCCAGCTCATAGGGGACCTTAGATAGCTGCATTAACAATTCACCCATGGTGACAAGAGGGAACTCATATTGTGGATGAAATTGTAGGTGAGTGGAAGAGATGATGGAGACTTTGGGAACATCTTTGCCTCTGCTTCCATGTTTCTCACAGAGATTAGAGGTAAAGTTATTGGGTGAGAGTGAGTGTATGGAGAGTACCAGATGTTTAAAGGAGAATGAAGTAGTTCTAGAGGAGAGTGAGTGGACGGAGGAAGTGGTTGCTCTGTTGTTTACAGAGCAATACTGAATCCTACTGAAAGTTAGTGGCTATGGATTTAAAGTAAGGCCTTTCACAAGGCCAGGTGTTTTTTCTTAGCTGCTTTCAACTGTGAAAGACAGTAGGTGGACTTAGTGTTGGAGATTTTCAGGACTGAGGTTTCATTATTAAAGTTCCATTAGAGAAGAGCAGGTGGGTAGGGTGATGCCAGGTATGGATAATACCCACATGCCAGAATTTAAATTGTATAAAGCATGCAGGAAAGGCATGAATGGAGTGTGGAATGGTATTTTAATTATAAAAAAGATCTTTGAACCATGAAACAATGGATTGAAAATTTAGTATCATGGCCTGGTGAGCACACACAAAGATACAGTCTTCCATTTTGACTATATTTCTTTGTGAGGTGAGTTTTCCGTAGTGAAGTCAAAACCATGATTCAAGGTAAATTAGACTGTACTAGAACTTTCATATTATTGTATTACAAGTGTAAACTATGATTAAGAAGATAACAGAAGTACATTTATCAAATTGTTAAAATATTACTCCCATTTTTCATAAATTTTTATGTACTGTTAACCTATTAGAATATAATTTGGTTAAAGCAAAATGGTTTTGTGCAACAAATAAACTATTTTATTATTTGGTTCATTCTTATAAATTGCCATTTTTTATATCTTAAATATGTGGTGTTAATACTTGTTTATAACTTATAATGTTTAGCATATAGATGGATTAAACTCAGTAATATTTTCTGATAGGAAAAATGTAATTAAAAATTGGAACCATTATTCTAGGAGATAAATCACTGATTTCCTATAATCACTTTCTTATAATAATTCATCCTCATTTGGGGATTTCTTAGAAGAGATGTTGAAATTTATTTATTTTTTTTGTTGTTGTTGTTGAAATTTATTTTAACCCATGAAATATGTGACAAGGACTCCCCAAACTTTAATTTCTTCATCTATAAAATAAGGGAAATAATAGTACCTTGTTCATAGATGTTGTTGGTCCATTTAAATAAGGTAATTATGAAGGGCTTTGCCCAGATATCTTTTTTTTGGACCTGCTCAGTAAGTAATAGTTGTTTTGAATAATGGTACTGATTATAATAAAGAATTAAACTTAAATTAAAAATGTAAGCATCTATAGTCCAGCATTATGCTAGAATTGTAAGCAAGAAAAACAAATATAATTTATGGTCCTGTCTCAAGTTTATAATCTTTCTAGAAAGACATACAGGAAGCAATTGGGTAACCATTTAAATACATGCCATAGATACCATCTGTATTACCTACTGTCATGAATAAAAAGGTATGGAGAAATCTAAAGTGCCAAAAATTAATTGCTAGAACCTGAAATCCTGGATACTGTAAACTATTTTAAAATCCATTAGAGCAACAGAAACCACCATTGTGATATTCTCTAATAATCACCACAAATGAAAATCTGTCTAATCATATAGATTATCTATTTGAATAGTCTTTGGTTGAGGAAGTGAAAAGGATAAGGAATATTCATATGCTTAAAAAATCTTAATTCTCTTCATTGTAATGCCATCAATTATGATCACTGTAGCTTACTGAGAACCTATTAAACCTCTATCAGACACTATACTAGCTCATTAATCCTTGCTACAACTCTATCAGATAAGAACCAGCATGCTTATTTACAGATCAGGAAATAAGAAAGAGAGGAATTTAGTGACTTGCCCAAGTTTGTAGAGCTGAAAGGAGCCAGGCTTATCCAAGCAGCTTACCTGACTCAAAAGTCTCACCCTCACCACTCTGTGGGGGGAAGTTTCTATTTAAAATTCTGCTGCTGTCTGGAAGGAGTAAATATCCATTTATTTAAAAACCATGTGTACATTCAGTTTAGTGTAGTTCCTTTTTGCTTAGAAGGCTCAGTTGCTCTCATAATCCCACTTTGTCTTAAATCCAGAGTTACATAGCTGGGTTCAAATGGCCAAAATTGAATTCTTTCTCCAAACCAACTCTAATCAGGTTATGGTTTGGAATAGAACAATATACTCTACTGGCATCAACACCAACTTCCTCTCCTGGACGTGTCTTTCCTTTCATTGAAGCAGTGTCTCCCTCAGGGAGTTGTCTCTGACACTCTGAGCTTGTGGTTTCTTTGAGACAACTCCCTGAGGGATAGACCACTTACTGGGTTCAGTCCATCCTTGCCATTCAGTGTCTGCTAAAAGAATGATTAATAAAAACATGTTCTCTCCCAAGGGATATTCTGTTAATCTCTGTTAAGCCTTTTTGAATGAACACCTAGAGAATTTGAAAGTGGGGCTTGTATATAAAAACCAAAGTAGAGACAAAAATAACAAACTCCAAGATCCAAGGATATGGTGGGAAAGTAGAAGTGGCCACCTCATAATGACTCACCAACTACCAGTCACTCAGGTCCTCTTTTTTAGATATTTATTTGTGACCAATAGGAAAAGGGAAGTGCAGGCAAGTGGAAAGTGGAATATATAAGCTAATATGAAATTGCACTATTGACTAGGCCACCCACAGGAAATAAGTTTCCATGACATCAGGACAATATCCCAAATTGGGAACCCACTCTGGGCTATCTCTTTAGATTAAGAAAGTTTCATTGAAAAGTTGCATGTTCTCCAAGAGAAAAACAGAATCAGAGTTCAACCACAAGGGATATATCAAATTCAATTCTTTCAAGAGGTGTCTCAGATTCTTTTAGCATTTTATTAGCCCTCTTTCCTTTTGTAAGAACCAGTTTGTGGCATTTCCTTACTCTTCTATGCATTGATACACCTGTCACCTGCAGGAACTGATGACACCTGTAACATACCTATGATCTTCAGGACTTTCTGGTTATAACATTTAAGATGATTTTTAGGAGGAAAAATCACTTCTAAATTTGAGCTATCATTATTTTCACCTTTGCCCTTCTTCACAATATAAACACTCAGAATTCCTAACCATGGTTCTCTTCCTATACAAGACTATCAGTCTACCATGTTCACACTTCTTAATACAATCCTTGAACAAGCAGGACTCTGATAGACTTGCTTCAACTGAACACCCTTATATGCAACTATGGAATACAAATTAACAGACTACTAGTAAAACTCTGGTTAAAACTTTCACCTGACTAGACTAACACTGAGTACAGTGTCCTGTTTCTATCTGAGATTTCTGTCAGTTGCTTTCAAATATCTTAAGTAGTAGACCCATAATTTTGAAATCTTTGCTAGCCAATCCTCTTAAAAATATACATTTGCAGTCCTAATTTCACATCATCGTCTGTTCACAAATGGACACCTTATTCTCACCAAGGCTCAGAATTATCAAATGTACCCAGAAATAACTAACTCCTAAATTAAAGCATTTCTTGTTTTCATTTTGGTCAACAGTCATAAACACTAATGTAATTTCATTCCCTTCACTGGACCCACAGCTTGGGCTGGAGCTCAATGGGAAATTCCTGCTAAGCATCTGGGGCTTCCCAAATAAGAATGTGCTGCTCCTTCCTCCAGGAGTCTTCTCTGAACACTGCAGCCCAAAATCATTTCCTCCCCCACCCCACTTTTAACTGTTAAAGCACTTGCTTTATACCACCCTTAGATAAATTATTAGTCACTGTATTTTACAGCCAGAAGGGACATTATAAAATAAAGAAATCCATACTCATTATCAATTTTCAGATGAAGGAACTGAGAACCAGAAAGTTTAAAGGCCTCTTTCAAATTCATAGTTATTGAGACACCTAGAACCAGCATCCAGATCTTACCCCTAGTTCAGTGCTACTTCTCTTCCCAGAAATAATGTTACCCACTTGTCACTTACCTTATTCTATCTTCCATTATTTTTGGTGCTTTTTTCCTTCAATAAGACTATAGCTTGCATCCCATTTTTGAGGGCAAATACCATGTTTTTTAACCTTTTTTATTCCGCCCAAATGATTTATCAGAGTTCCAAGAAAAAAGAAAGATGCTCCCCTGGCATCTGTCAATTATGTGATTGAACCAAGTGATTTTCTCCATTAAAATCAATTCTGGTACTAATATTTAGCATTCTTAATAGCTTCCATTTAAAGACATTTTGATAAATCTCAAAAGCATTTGCCACAAGAAGATTGGAATTATATTATTTGTACCCAGATGCCCTTTATTTTTCAATTATCTCTAATAATACTCAGTGACAATTAAAATAAGTATATTAACAAAAGAAAAAGAATAACAACCACTTAGGCACTATTGTCTCCTTACCTTGCATGGGAGAAAATTAAGGATTAGTGTAATGAAGGAGCAAAGCAATAGTAAAATGATTATTGTTGAGTAGAGGAACCATTGTTTCCAGGTTGGTCTCTGTGCTTCTTGAGGAGTTGCATGGTTTAAAGTCATGTTCTCCATGAGGCTTATACTCTGCAGGATGAGAGCTGTGGAAAGCAGATATTCACTTGTGATGGACTAGTGATGTAACTGTCAGTTTTGTAGTAGTATGATAATTAGTAGTGGGTGTGAGGCGGAGTTTTCCTTCTGATTCTGTGTTAGAAAACGATACTTCTAGGTTAAGTGCTGACTCTCACTTGGCAGTAGTCCAAACACAAGAAAGAAGCAGGCTGAAAGCCAACACAAACACAGGATGAAAAAAAAAATGACACACGGGAAGTTCAGAAAGGAAAAATTCTTTCCTCAATCAAGAGGAAGTACAGTGCTATGCAGCTACAAATTATATCCAGACTAGAATGTTGCTCTTTATAAAAAAAAAAAAAGTCCAAGATTAAGTTCTATCATATTCCAGATATCAGTACATGTGAGACAGAGGATGGGGAGTTGGAGAGGTTAGGATGCACGCTTTGATTTAGGAAAATAGTTTCATCGATCTCTAAGACATAAAAGTGTTTCCAGATAGTCTAAGAAAACACCAGATGTATCCCTATTTTTTTTATTTAAAAAATATAAATACATCAGCATCAATGTTATCACTGCTTTCAAACACTGAAAATTCAGTGCTGGCCTTCAATAGAAATAAAGTCATGATACAAAAGGATACCCCCAACAACTCCCACCTGACTTTACAAAAAGATAAAAAATGGACATCTTCCTGCCACCAAAAATGCTCCAAAATTGAGGAAGACCCCTGGTTCTTTCTGTCTCTTGATCTGTTACAGTGGAATACTACCTTTGCTATAGAATGCCAGCATTATGTGCTCAAAAGAACATGGGCTTTTATTATAGGTAAAGCGAGTACAAGAACATGTGCTTTTAAGTCAGACAAGCCTGAGGTAATCTGATGCTGTCCAGCCCTTTGCTGCTCAGTGACCTTGTACATATATTTGACTTCTCTGTTCCCTTAATTGTAAAATGAATAAGCTTTCCATTTCACAATGCTTTTTCAAGAATGAAAGAAACTCAGTGACTGGTTTGGCTCACAGAAGAATATACCATGTGTTAGTTTATCTCTTCCCACATTTCATAGAGAGATTGTAAAGATTAAATTCAATATAAAAGCCTGAAATAAAGTAGCTATTTCTTTATATTTACCACGGGATGTAAGTATAGTAAGTAAAAAGGACATTAATCTAAGAGAGTTAAAGATATTGAAATTAGAAGTAGATCCTAGAGATTTAACCACCTCATTTAGGAAAGAGGAAGCTAAGGATAATAGAGGTTGAATGGCGTGTCACCCCGCTAATGGCTGATGTTAACCAGGGACATTGTTGTAAACTAACTTTCTTCTCTTCACTATTTGCAGAAGTGCTTCTCACTTGACCCTTGCTTATCTTGATGGATAAGTTGTCTCTTAAGATGGGTCACAGAGTCACCATGTGTTAGAGGCTGTGATGCCGGGACAAACAGCAAGCTGATTCTAGAAAGAGAATCATCCATTGTGTCTACCACTCTTAATCCTGTATCATATCTGAACTGCATAGGCACAAGCACAAAATTTTAAACTGATCTCTGTAAAGTTAGACTATTTCCTTCCTACTTCTTCAGTGTGCTCCTTCTCCTGTCACCTCTCCAAATTTTAGATGGAAGGGCTCCTACTTATTCACCAGTCAATGTGTATTCAAATTAGGCACTGTTCCAAATAAAATCCAGTTTCTCTTTTGCCTGGTTAAAGGTTGATCTCTGGTATATCCTGATTAACCTTATGAATCTTAGGAGCTATGATGCAAGAAAATACATTCTACATCTGTTTTTCATGAAATAAGATTTAGAAATAAAGAAACTTCAAGTTAGGAGAGGTGTCAGTGAAGGCAGAGAACATTATATCAGAACACTCAGCCTAGTGCTCCCTTTGGCAACACACATACTAAAACTGAAGATACACAGAACAGTCATGTGGCCCCTGTTCAAGATGATACTTAGATTTATGAAGTAGTTCATGCATTTCTTTTAAAAATCCAGCATATTCGATCAAAAACATTCATTAGATTATAACTCATTAAGGAATACTATACAATTGAATATGACTACTCTTGATACCAGAACATACACTGTAACAAACAGAGCCCATTTAGTCCAAAAATACATGATAGGTGATCGATGGGTGAATGGGTGGATGAATAGATGAATGGATGAATGGATGGCTGGCTGGATGGATGGATGATGGATGGGTGGATAGAAGGAAGGAGGATAGATGAATGGATGAAAGATAGATGATACATAGATGACAGGTGACAAAATGAACAGCTGTGATATATAAATAGAGTTTTAAAATAAAAGGTTTTGAAGTATCATGAATACTATATCTTAAGGTTAGTAAAAGAACTGTGTATAGCCCATTACACATAGATAAATATGTGCACCTACACACATATATATATATATAATCAATTCTAAAAGATACACAGACTTCATATCAACCATCAAATCATCCTCTCTACGGAAATGATAACAACCCTAATCTGGGTGGTCTATAAAATAAAACTACTGTTATTCCATGATCTAATTTCCTTCTCCTGTGCCCCAAATTATCTTGTTCTGTGTTGTCTTTTTTTTTTTTTTTTTGGCTCTTCCACATTTTTGGAGTCTTCACCAAATTATTTGTGGTTTTCCTGTGTTTTACTGACTCAAGTCTTTAATTAACAAATCAATTGGCCAATTTCCATGAACCCCTTCTTAAGCTAGCTTCCAGCTTTACCACCAGTGTTTGAAAACAACCACATGAGGTTGTGGGTCTCTGTCAAAACCTGAGTCCTTCATGTTAGTGATTCTTGCTTTGATGTCTTTTCTTGCCTAGCCTACACTGTATGAGTATCCTGGCCAAGAAAGAGGCATTCCAAACACCTTGTGATGGGAAGAATCACTTCCTTCTTGGAATCTGAAGTGAACATAGATTTTCCATTAAGCAATATGTCTGCCAGTTAAAACTAAACATCACCATAAAAACTGTAATGAGTGTGCCTTGCTGTTCAAGTTTACCTTGCCCAAAATCACAAAGCTTGCCAGAGAACTATGTATCTCACCTGTTAAACTAATTTAAATAAGAGGATCCATATATTCCCTACACTAAGAACTCCTCAAAACTTCATTTCCTCAAGCAATTCTGTAAGTGGGGGCCAGGAACATATATTTCCCCTTTATACTCCTACTTGGTGTTTTCATTTGACAAGCTACTAAATAATATCAGCTCTACTAGTGAAGAACAATTAGTATATTCTGTTTTAACATATAACTATGTTAGACTCATGTAGAAATTAATGAGACAGTTTCTCTTCTAGTTTTCTCAGTTTTTTGGAAATAAGCATGCACCATGCAGTTTGGATATTCTGTCTCATGAGTATATTTGTTGTTTTTGGCACTGAGCTATAAATGAGTAAAGAAGTTTTCTCTATTTAATGGTCCCAAAAGAGACATGTTAGTCTCCTGTTTGTTTAGAATACATTGTTGAGGCAACTCTCTTGTTCACCTGTGATTATGCAAGTGCCTTTATTTTTCTTTTTCTAATAAACCTATCCTTTTTAAAATGTAAGAAAAGAAAAGAAAAGAAAGCATTACCAAATGCTTTCTACATACCAAGGACAAAGGTCTGTCCCAAACTTCGAAATTTTTATTTCTTTTTGTCTTGTTTTGGTTTGGTTTTTGTAGGCAGTGAGGGAAAGAGAAACTATACAAAGCAATACAAGGAGAAGTGTGGTAATAGTATTAATACCTGACCTCACTCAGGGTAAGGGAAAATTTTATAAAGGAGGCAATGTCTATCTAGGTTAAGACATATTCCTGAGAAGAGTTTACCCTGTTGAAACACCCCTCATAATTCATAATATACCACTTTAATAATCAATTATTATTCAGTATTTCATTAATAATATATGGCCTGTATTATTAGCTATTGATCAATTTCTGAATAGCATGATATTTAAACACATTGTATAGTATAATTGTATATCTAATGTGTGTCTATGCATGTATGTGTGAGTGTGTAGTATTACAATTTCAAGCATGTTACTTGGCAATGGAAAAGTCAAAACAGTTAAGTCAGGGTCTCCATCTTAAAGAATCTATTGTCTGATAATTAATTCTTTTACATCTGATCCTTCCAAACTTGCATTGAAAATAATATATTTTCAATATATTGAATAGATATAATTTCAGTATATGTATTGGATAATAGATTATCCAATTTCAAGATAAACTTGACTTATCATTTTACATGATTATATGTCACTTCCCCAGAGTTACCAGTTAATTCAATTCAGGTGAAAATTGGTGAAGTACCTAGAGTTACTCAAGCCTAACTATTGTGTATCTGGTTTGACAACTCTAGCCATGAATACATTAGGATGTTCCACTATAAAAAGGAACTCTCAAGTGGGCATGCCAATGGAAAAAACACTGAGTCATAGACAACACTGTGGAATGCTGTTTGGTGACACAGTGCCAATAGAGGTAGCAGGCAGTTTCCATTTACTAAATAAAGAACAAACCAATTTGAAGGGTTAGATTATGAATATTATGCTAATATAAGGCGTTGATTATTTCAAGTCTTTAGTCACCAAACAAGCCTAAAGAAAATCTCTTTGGCTGAAAGTAGGGATAGTCTCCTCCCTACACGTACACAGTCTTTTCTAGTCCTTGCATTATCTTGTTGCAACACTACTGAGTGCTCATTTCAAATGTAAACCATATAGAAAAGAAAGTAGACAATAATAAAAGTAAAAGCAAGGAACAAATATATGATAAAGTCTGCTCTGTTGCAAGCGCATGTTTAAGCTTAAACTTCCATATGCATTATTAGGTTTATTTAATCCTCAAAACAACATTATGAAATAGGCTTTTTGTTTCCATTTTACAAATGAGAAAATTGAGGCAAAAGATGGTTAGCAACTTAACCAAAGTCATAAAACTACCAAAACTCTATTCAGATATGCTTAACTCTAAGTCTATTCTTTTGTTCTATCTTG